GCCCACATTCAGGGTGAGTCTTTCTCTCCTTGCTGGGGACACCCTCACAGAAACACCCAGAGGTGTGTTTCCATGGTGATTAAGTTCAGTCAAGCTGACAATGAAGACTGATGATCACAGAGACCTTTCTCCTAAGGCTTCTTTCTCATCTCCACTGTTCACACTAGTTGGTCTCAATTAAACCTAGGACAGTAGTTTTCTGCTTTTAATTTTCATTTGGTTGTTTCATTTTAGCAGAAATGTAATGAGAGTTTTCTATGTTTTGCCTTTGGCTAAACGAGGCCTCTAGTCAGTGGCAAGAGAGCTGAAACCCTACAGCATGGTCAAACCACCTCTAGGGCACTTAAGAAAGATGTTTAAAAATTGGTCCCCTGCCCCCTCCACCCTTTTTTTCCACCTTCCTCACCAGCCAGGCATTCACCTAAGGATGTTTAAAAGTTAAATGTTAAGACTCAACTTCAAGAATTTATAAAACAGTAGGGTATACAACACCCCCTTGCAATTTAAATGTCTTCTGAGCAATTTGGATGATTAGGTAAATTGGAGAAGCATTATCCCCTCTAGTCCTGTCTTTTAGCTATTCTTCCACATCTGAGTCCCTGGGTTTCCCTAAAGATGTCTGTCTTCTTGTTGCTGGACTCAACTCAAGCTCTTCCTCTAACAGGAGAACTTGTCTGCTTATGTTTCCGTCAACATAGTTCAGTAGTGTATTTCTTTCCTCCCAAGCTTGGTGAAACAAGCCTTTATCTATCACCTTATGTTGTAAGAATTTCTTTTAAATTATCTCCAATTCATTTTGTTATTCACACTCTGCTGGGTGAAATAAAACATCTCAGAGTATTATTTTTCCTCCTGGTCCCCTGTCTCACTGACTTTCTAAAATCAAAACCACTAGTAACTTTTAGTTATTCCCATTATCTTAGTCAGTGTTCTATCGCTGTGAAGAGAGACCATGGAACTCAGCAATTTTTATAAAGGGAAGCATTTAATTGGGGCTGGCTTACAGTTCAGAGGTTTAGTTCATTATCATCATACAGGAGGTATGACAGCAATCGAGCAGACCTTGCTTGAGAAAAGGAGCTGAGAGTTCTACATCTAGATCAGCAGGCAGCAGGCAGAGAGAGAGAGAGACTCTGGGCTTGGCTTGAGAATTTGAAACCACAAAGCCCACCTCCAGTGACACACTTCCTCCAACAAGGCCACACCTCCTAATCTCCCTCAGAATAATGCCACTCCCTAATGACCAAGCATGCAAATATATGAGCCTGTGGGGGACATTCTTATTCAAACCTTCACACCATCTTTTAAATATCACACCTTCTGATGCTCACAGCATGATTTATCTGGCATCTTCATTTCTCCTCATCTATGCTTAGTATTTAGGGCATCCTTTCCCACCTTCTCAACTGTCATTCCTATGCTTCTCATTGCAGAGGTGCTGAGAAGCATCCTTGATCACAGCAAGCCTCTGCTTACATGACCTGACTCCAATAGTACTGACTGGTTCCTTCCATAGGCAGATGGAGTTAGAGGGGCTAGCTACTTACTGTGAATTGATGCTCAGGAAAGGAAGTGGGGAGGGGGAGGAAGGTGGGGGAGAGCGTGAGACAGTGATGCAGAGTTGACCGTTACAGGCTTGTACAGTTCTTGTTACAGGCTTAACTTTTGCATTACCTCCTTTCAGGAATAATCTTTCCCTTACACCAATTTCTGTTAGCTCAACAAGGAAGGCCAAGGCCAAGCTAGTCTTGAGGAGAGCCCTGCATTGGCAGAAGTGGTTGAATGCTTGCATTATGGTCTTACTCAGTCATTAATGGAAGCCTAAGGCTGGGACCTGAGCTTGAAGCTGGTGTAGCTGATGAAGAGGACAGTAGTGGGCTATATTTCCCAATGCTGAGCAGAATCCCCTGGTGTGTTACTTACTTACCATGTTTTGGCCCACAGTTTGAGGTGTAGTCCATCATGGTGGCCAGAACCTGAGGCTGCTGGTCATGGGTGCCACTTGCTCACCTTGTTTTATCTTTTTTTTCTTCAGTCTGGGGTTCCAGCCCAGGCAATAGTGTAGTGCACATGTAGGGTGGGTTTTCCAATTTCAGTTGTCTTAATCTAGAAACTCCCCACAGGCATCCCATAGTGATTTGAAATGCTATCAAGTTGGAAATCAAGATCAACCATTACCCTTGGTAAATATACCCTTCTTAAGGCAGAATTTCCCTATTTGTGACTGTGATGGATGAAGGATGGTCGAAGAGGCATCTAAGTGGATTGCCTGGAACTATGTGTGCTCTTCCCTGCCACCCTTGTGAAATGGCCATTCTGCCTCCTGCTCATCAGAGTCAAACCCCAGTGTGCTGAAGGGTTGACTCCTTTCCTTGCCTCTTGGACCCTGGACTTCTTCAGATTTTCTAGCAGTTGCCTACTACTGGGACCAGACTTATTAAACCTAAAAGCCAGAACACCGTGGATGGGAAGGACACAGATTCACAGGGAATCCTGGTTATATGCCTTGGTTCCCAGATAGCACTGCAGACAGAATCATTTAGCATCGTGTGTGTGTGTGTGTGTGTGTGTGTGTGTGTGTGTGTGTGTGTGTGGTGTCTCATTCCCTGTGTGTACTGTATGACCAGGCTCATGGTCCAGATCACTCATGGGGCATCCTTAGATGTCCAAAGGGAAGGAATTCCTTTAGGTATTCCCAAGCACCCATTGGTATAGAATAGTAATTCTCAAAGATTCTTAGGCATACAGTCCTTTTTCTCCTTTATCAGGGTGTGTGTCCCCAGATAGATTATGTTCAGACTTAAACCCAGTTGTTGTTCTGGCAGCCAAGGGAGGAAGTCAGATGAATTTTTGATGATAAAGGGAATAGAGAGACACTGTCACCTTATCAGGGAGACCTCTGTCATTTTGTGCCACAAGGAAGAAATGACAGCTCTGTATGAAGGAGACAGCCTTCTCTGCAGGCTCTATGGAATAAGAGCCTGTGCAGTCAAGCTGTAAGGGTTGTCTACCAGGTGTCCCTTGCCTTATGTGAGAGCCCTGGGCTCTACCAACCAGGACCTTAGTGTTGTCATATCAGATGTGCATTCTCGAATCTCCGTCTATTAAAATGTGACCATGGTCTTCAGACTTTTTTAGACCTTTCTTGATCTCTTGCTGCAGAAGAAAAAGGCTGCTTGTAAGATAGCAAAGAGGGCCCCTGGCCTTTACTCTAGGTTTTAACTGCTTAGTAAATGCCCTTACCTCTCCGTTATCCTGCTGTGTGATATTGCTTGGTATCAACCAGGATGCAGTGACCTGGTCTGCATTGTATGCCCTAACTCCAGTCTTAACTCCATTTAAATATCTGAACTGTGGCACCAGCCAGGGTGTTTATATATGCTGGGATAGTCTTCAAAGTCTCCCTGGGATTATCATGAAGAGTTTAGAAGTTGGGCCACCACCTTATGTCTGATTAATGAGGTTCTACATACCACATGGATGGAGGCATCACTGTTAATTGGTTATGAGAGACACAGGTCCCAAACTCAGTATTTTTGGTTGCAGCAAAATACACCTAACATAAAATTTACTTTACTATTTTATAGTGCATCATCCAGTGGCATTACACTCACTTTACATATTTGTCTATCCTAATTATTATCCAAAACCACAGCTTGTACCCTTTAAACAACAGAACTTATTTCCCCCTCCAGCCAAAGCTCTTGGTTACCACTATTCTACTCTGTTGGAATGAGTTTTGGTTTTCCAGAGTCCACACTAAGGGAGTTCATGCAGTATTTTATTATGAATGATATACTCATATGTAGTAGGACAGGCTCATAGGGCCGAGGAAATTGGTTCAAACCAGTTGCCAAGGCATGCACATAGCATACTTCCTTATGAACCAACCTGCTGCCTGAGGGCCTAGCAACAGGTGCTGTCAGAGTTCCTGATTGTGCCCAGCCAATGAGGGATGACCACAGAATGCCACCAGATTGGGACACAGCTAGGGTGCTGGGAGGAGGGTACATAAGGCCTTCCCAGTTATTGAATGAACAAGTCTGCTGTTTGCCTTCAAGTGACTTCTGGTGTCTGGCTGTCTGTGTCATTGACGTCATGTCTTCTCACCCTCTCCCCCGAGAGCGGTGTTAGGATCCAGCAGCACTCATGGTTCATCCATGTTGAAGCACACATAAGGCAGAATAACAACTCATTACATGTATACACTGTGGTTTCACTCTCCATTCACGGACACTTGGTTCAACCTCACCTCACTGTCTGCTTTCTTGATGTGCTCTTGGGGTTCTTCACACCAAGATATTAAATACCGTATTCCAAGAATGTGCCCCCAAATCTGTGTGCTCCCTGACCGAACCTCATGTTCTAGCCTTTGCTGGAATATACTTAGAATTCTGTCCTAGGAGTGTTCACAAACAGCTGCTGTCACAGGTTAGCTAATTCTTACAGATTCTTTCTTCCCTTCTTTATCAGATGTAGTGTATTCTCAGCTGGACAAAATGCAGACTTAACCCCAACTGTTAGCCTGGCAGCCAGATGCTGATGTGGGAATAGTAATGTACAACTCCCGAGGAAAGGAAAGGGAAGAACAGGGCTAGGCGGTGGCTCTCTAAGATTCCCGTGCATATATTTCACTAGTCAAAAAGAGGGATTTGGGGCAAAGACATCCTGTTACAGGAGTCCCACCTAGTCACCGTTGGGGCCACTGTAAGAGGAGCACAGCCTTGGCTTGAAATAGAGGCAAATCTAAAAGAATTAACAACAGAGGGCCATGTTAGATAACTCATTAATTTATTTATTGTGTGGGAGTGTCGATATACACATACATTCTGGTGCACCTGTCTATGTGGATACACACGTATGTCTATATGTGTAGAGTCCAGAGACCGACCTCAGGTATCATTCCTCAGAAGCCATTCTCTTTGGTTTTGGAGACAAGGCTTCACTCTGGGACCTGAGACTCCCTGATTAGGCTGGGTGGGCTGCCAGTGAGCTCCATTTTCCTGTCTGTACCCTCCAGTGCTGGAATTCGAGCACATTCCACCACACTCAGCTTTTTATGTCGGATACCAGGGATTGAACTCGGGTCCCCACGCTGGCAGAGCAAGCACTTTCCCAACTGAGTCATCTCCCCTGAGGACTGCCTAGATCAGCAAATCTCAGTGTCCACCTCAAAAGGGTTATGAACATTTGCAAGGCTTGAATGGATAAAATATTCTCATTGTGGTCAGTGAATGGCTGGGCGAATTCTTTCGTCTCTTCCTGAAATGCACACTGGTACACTAAGCCATCACCCACCTCTTGACATCTTAGGTCATGCCTCAGTGATCTAGAGCCTGTCCATAATGTCATCTCCAGAGTCTACTGTTAGCCAACTTGACTTCCCTTGCCCCGAATCCCAGTTGTTGACACAAGAAACACTGAGAATACTGCATAGGCTACCAAATCCTTCTGAGTCTTGATTTATATTTCATAACCCTTAAGAACATATTTCTAGGCACTTTAGATGATTTTATTCATTACTTGGGAACAGCAAAAATAGACACAGTTGGCGAATTTAATAATCGTGTGATTTGAGGTCACTGGGTAGGTTTTCCATAAGGCCTTCTTCTCTGAGGGTGTTCCTCCATCTCTCAACAGAGTTCCAGCAACAAAGCTCACCCATTTCTTCTTAAGATGCAGTCTCAGGTGATTGGTCAGATCCCTCAGTATCCCTCTCTTTTCCCAGAGGTATGAGCCTTACATTCACCGGACAAGCCTGGGTTACCCACAATGCTCCCAGGGTAAAGAGTTTGCACCTTTTCTAATCTCTTCCTATTGGTTTCAGCTTTAATTGCCAGACTATCGTGAACATTCTGGGCTTCTTTGTCTTTTGCCATTTGCATTCTCCAAGACTACTTTAGTGTGCAACACAGAAAGAAAGAGACTTTCTGCTTCATCATGTTGGACTCTCTTCCTCCTGGCTAGGGTTTGGAACTTAAAAGGGAAAGTGTTGATCACTCAGTTCTCTTTAACTTCCTTGGCTATATAATGAAGGTAAATACTCTAAGACACTGCTGGTCCTTATTCCATGGGCCATGTTTCATCTGTTACCCCACATCTCTAGGGCTTCCGCCCGCTAGACAGAGTCAGTGGTTCCCCACCATCAAATAACTACCAATTATATATGTTTGCTTAATGTTTATTAAATTGTCAATAATTGACGCCACTCTGCTGAAGTCACCAGATTGCAGAATGCCGAGAAGCCCGAGGAAAAAGCTCTAAGGAGCTGGTAATTCATTCACCTTCTCCCTCATGCCAGCCTCGGCTGCAATGTCAGATTTCATTTCTGTCACCCTGGGCTTAGGCAAGAACAGTCCTTCTAAATTGACTATCTCCACATGCAAAACGGGATCAACATTTTTGTCCGCGCCGAACAATCAATTCTTACAAAAAAAGTAAAACAATCACTTTGACTCTTTTTCTTCCCATTTAATTGTGGGTCTGAATTGACTGATCAAACAGTGACAGATTGTGAGGTAATGAAAAATGGCGCAGGGAGCTAGCTCCTCTCGGAATGCAGGAGGCTGTTCCACAGGAGTCCTGTCAGGTTCTTTAGTGGCCTACTGAGGCTGCATGGTCTTTGAATGCTTCTGGTCCGGGAGACCCCACCTTCACCCAGCATTCTACTGAATCCATTTGTGATAAGTAATCTGGGTCAAGTTTCCCCGTGGAGACACTTAAGAGACACACATCTTAGTTTCCCCCAAAAAATTTTTCTTCAGATTAGGGTACCCGAACAGCACTGATAAAATCCTGTCATCTTCACTTAGGACAGTTTCCTTGGTGTCCATTTTCCTCTGGAGTACCCCATCTCAACAACCGCAAGGACCTGTCACTGTATCCTCTGTCCACCATCTCGCCTCCACAGCCATGTCTTAGAAACCCCCGAGCGTCCACTGTCGGATAACGGTTCGGTCATTATTTGTATCGGTCATTTTTCTCTCTGCTGTGACAATACATCTGGCATAAGCAATTTAAGGGAGGAAGGCCTCCATCCGGCTCTGAGTTTGGAGGTACAGTCCATCCCAGTGTGGAGTCCCCGGCACGACTCCTGCCATGGTGACAAAGCCTGAGACACCTGGACACATCGTGTCTGCATCTGGGAATCAGAGAAAGATGAATGCTTGTTGCTCGAGTTTTTCTGCCTGGCCCACAGTCAGGATAAATCTCTCACCCGCCAGTCCCAAGCCGCTCAAACCCGATCAAGTAAACACAGAGACTTATATTGGTTTCAAACTGTATGGCCGTGGCAGGCTTCTTGCTAACTGTTCTTACAGCTTAAATTAATCCATTTCTATTAATCTATACCTTGCCACATGGCTTGTGGCTTACCGGTACTTTACATCTTCCTTATCCTGATGGCGGCTGGCAGTGTCTCTCTGACTCAGCCTTCCACTTCCCAGCTCTATTCTCCTCCTTGTCCCGCCTACACTTCCTGCCTGGCCACTGCCAATCAGTGATTTATTCATTGACCAATCAGCAACACATTTGACATAAAGACCATCCCACAGCAAATGCTGGTGTTCAGCTCCTTTTCTCTGAAGCGCCACTCCACGGTGACGTCATCAGTCACTCCTGACTGATTCAGTCAGGTGGCCTGGCTCACAGTCAGAGCAGGTCTTCCTTCTCTCAGCTAAACCCCTCTGAAAACGCCATTGCAAGTCCACCCAGAGTTAGGTTTCCACTGTGATTGTCCACGAAGTAGGCAGTTAAGACCAGCCACCACAGATGCCGTCCCCAACCACCCCCTTCCTAGGAGAAAGGGAGGCCTCAAGGACTGCCACCATCTTCACGACTTAGAAGGGGTTGGTGAAGTGCACCCCAACAAGACGTCATCATTACACCACTGTCACCATAACCCCCAACAAGCTTTTCTTGTTCGTGTATCCATCCACCCCTTCATTCTCTGTCTTAGAGTTTAAGACACCATACATGATGCATACAATAAGAAAAGAAAAATAGAAATGAATTACTAAAATAAACCTAAAACAGTCAATAGCAGATGTTAAGGGAAAAATAAAAGATGAGACTGGAATCCAAACAGTCAGCAGTCTGTGTCCGTCAGACCCTTGTTGCTGTCACACATCCGAGAGAAGCCGTTTCCAAGGAGGAACGGGCCATCTGGCATATGGCTTCAGCGGTTCTGTCCTGGGCCGTTCTCTCCTTTGCTGTGGGCCTGAGGCGACATAAAACGTGGAGGTAAAACGTGTGGAGAAGGAGGAGGCTGGTTGCCTTGGGGTGGTAGGAAGTGGGGGTGGGGATAGGAGAGAGCCCCTAAACACACCCCTGCAGTGGCCTGCTGCCCTCTAGATCCCAACATAGTGCCAGCATTGGGGGACAAAGCTTTTTAAGACATGAGCCAAGGGGGTGACAGGACAGTTCATATTTCAATCACAACAGAGAGCGAGAAAATATACCTAGGGCAACAGCCTCGACTTTTTCTTATAAATATATCACAAGTTTGTTTCTAAGCTTTCAAGCAGACACTCAGTTTGGTAATTAATTGGGCTCATAAAAATTAATGACTACTTACTACATACCAAGTATTTGCTAAGCCTCGTGTTAGGCAACGAATAACATTTGAATTATAGGACTCAATTACCAAACAATTACAAAAGCAAAATTCAATTAGTAAAACAAAAGTCCTTGTTTTTCAACCATTTGATTGAAAAAGATGAAAAAAAAAGTGATGTCTCAGTCATTTTAGAGCTCTGACCCAGGCTGCCATGGTAGATGACAACACAGAGAAATGCATTTAGTGGTTCTGGAGGCTGGGAAGACTGTGAGCGTCCAACCAGCACTGAACATGGCTCGCCTTGCTGCATCATCACACGGTAGGAGGTGGGAGGCAGGAGGAGAGAGAGCAAGAGCTGGGCCTTCTGGGCTCACATCCTCCACAGAGGCATCGGTCCATTCCCAGGACCAGAGACCTCCCGACCTGAACACCTTCCAGTAGGGTCTACCCGCCAGCACTTAGGCATTGAGGGTTGCATTTCCACTATGTGACTGAGGAGACACACTCAAATCATAGCTAATGGTTACTCCCGGGTTCATCAGGCAGACTGGAGAGTATCACAGACTGGCTGGGAGGCCTGTTTCACACCCATTGATTTACTTCCCTTCTGGAACTCTATTATTTCCCCCCAGTCTTTCATGAAAGTCCTTCTTTCTCCAAAAGAAAGATGGCTCCCTTAGGCCTCCTGTCTCTAAAGGGTAAGCTCTTGGCCACTTGCTGCAGTACAACTGGGCTTAAGCCCTTACTCTGCTTCTCACAAGGCACATGACTGTTTGGAATATTATGTTAAGATGTGTTATATTTGTTTATGCTGTGAAATATAGGTTTAATGATGCAAAGATGGGTTGCATTCTTTTATGTTGCATTTGTTTAACTCTGTAAAGCTGTGTTACTTTGCCTGTCTAAAATACCTGAGTGATCTAATAAAGAGATGAATGGCCAATAACTAGACAGGAGAGAGAAATAGGTGGGGCTGGCAAACAGAGAGAATAAATAGGAGGAGAAATCTAGGAAGAAGAGAAGAATGAGGAGTGAGAAAAGGAGAAGGAGAGGGGATGCCAGGGGCCACCCAGCCACACAGTCAGCCATGGAGTAAGAAGGAAAGATATATAGAATAAAGAAAGGTAAAAAGCCCAGAGGCAAAATGTAGTTAAAGAGAAACTGGGTAATTTAAGTTAGAAAAGCTGGCTAGAAACGAGCTAAGGCCTGACATTCATAAGAATATGTCTCTGTGTATTTATTTGGGAGCTGGGTGGTGGGCCCCCAAAAGAGTTAAAAACAAACAAACAAACAAACAAACAAACAAACAAACAAACAGAAAACAACTACCCATGACCACTGGCAAATCACTTCTCTGCCCGGGCTTTGGAAAAGCACTTCACTTTGTCCATGACTCACCTTTCACCAGGTCAGTGCAGCGAAGTGAAGGCCTAGAGGAGAAGAAGACGGGAAGACCACTTCTCCCCCTTTCTCTCCAGGTGTTACATTAGAACCCAGGTCCTGAGACAGTCCACACCCAGACTCCCCCCAACGATGGAGGGAGCATTTCCCCATGCAGCCTCTCACTCATTAGTCAGCTGAGGCACCGCATGCCTGGGGACTGTATGCAAGTGAGCTGAACCCAGCTCATACGGTGAAATTGCGGGTGTGAATCACAGTGAACGTGCAGTTTTCAAATGCACCAAATACCTCATAATTCCATTTCTAAAGATGAATTTCAAAGAAGTAAGTGCTTGACTACAGAGATCGATGTCAAATAATACTTACTGGTACCTTATTTTCAGTGAAAATCTAAATATCTGATCAACTGAAGATGTACTAAGAAAGCTATATAGTCACTAAAAATGAGAAGGAACCATAGCTGTCCTGAACTTAGCAGTAATCTGTAAGGTATCTGGTTTTTAATTTTTAGAAATGTACCCCTCCCGTGTGTGTGTGTGTGTGTGTGTGTGTGTGTGCTTGCACATGTGAGTGTGCAGGTGCATGTACCATATTCCAGAATGTCAGAGGGTAACTTTTAGGAGTTGCCTCTCTCTTTCCACCCATGGTTCTGAAGACCAAACTCATGTCCCCAGGCTTAGTGGCAAGTGCCTTTACCTTCTGAGTCACTTCACTTTCATGGGATCTGATTTTTAAAAAGTTAATAGATCACTCCTACTGCACTAGAATTTTTATAAGAAAACTCGCAAAAAAAAAAAAAACCTTACAAGATATGTATATCCAAGTTAATGGTGGCTGTTTCTAAATAGTAGGTATAGAATCATTTTTCTATTTTATTCAAAATTTTCTATATTAATTACTTTCTAATTAAATTTTGCATTTTTTTTTTTTAGTAAAAGCAAAAAGAAATGCCACTAAGAAAAATAGCACCTCTCCAGCCCAGCCTCTTTGTACAGAAAAAGAAATTATGGGCCAGAGAGGTGGTCATAAGATTTTTAATAAACCTTTAATGTGAGTACAATTACCATTTTCAATATCTGTTTAATAGTCTAAAGATACACACTAAAGGGGAGTGCTGAATTCCACTCACCAGCTTTACACAGCTGTAGGGGTTTCTTGACCTTGGCTTTGTGTTTGCTACAGGAAGAAGATGGAGGGTAGTGTTTCTCTTTTGCATCTTGGTCCCAGCCTAGTAACCAACAACCACAGCAGTGTAGCAGTGTGGCCTTCCCCAACAGTGACTCCACACAGCCTCTAAGTTCCCTCATGGCCTCTTCCACCCATTTGGAACCATCACGGCTCCTGGGGTTTCTGTTCATGTCTGCTCGGTCTTAAATCACTCTCCTCTACAATGCATGCCCCAAAGGAACCAGTTCAATGTGGTATCTCTCTGTTCTCAGCTCCTTGTGGAAGACAATCAAACCATGGTTGGTACTCCATTTTGTGTGAACATGAAATGAAAGCTGGTACTGAGTGCACACGTAAGGTATTGGGAGGCTAGCTTCAGTGCCCTGACTCGTGAACCTGGTACGATCCTGTTTCTATAAACATGTTGGGTTGCATGGACGAGAATGATAAAAGTGATTCTCAGTCTTCCATAACTTAAACATGGAGACACAAGCAATTCCTTTCTTCTTTTACAACATGGCTGAGTCATTTATTGGGGCAACCTTTTCATTTTCCTCCCCTATGAAAGAGCAGATCTCCATAAAACATTTATGAGTAAACTGTTCTAGATGGACTCAAGCAGCTAGCTAATACACTGGGCGCCACCACGCAGCCATTGCCTGGGAACCCTAAGGCTATGGAGACTGCTGGGAGGTGGGGTGCAGGTGGTAAAGACTTACTTAAACGAATATTCTGAGAAGTCTACTTAGTCTCTTCAGGCATGAGGATGGGGATCCTGGGTAGAGGCTTGCTGGACCGGGACAGGTTAGAACTGGACTACCACACCTAGACCTAGGTGGAATAACGAGGCTCAGGCAGAACACCGCTCACCACGGATCTTATTAGGTGTCCATGAGCTGGAACTATCTGTGTGCAATATGTGTACTGCATTAATTAATTAAAGGGGAGATATGCAAAGGCCTCTGAGTTTGTTTAGACTCCCTAAGGACTGGAGTCCATTCCTTTTCCCTGCAGCCCCTAGAACGGTTTAAGTATAGACAGGGTAGAGACGTGGCCAGCTGGTTCCCTGCCTTGCCTTCATTCATCCAGTGCTGGGATCTGGAAGAGCAGTCCACTGCTTTCACAGATACCCCCATGAACTATCTTTCACCAGGACAGATGCAGCAAAGACAGGGGATGAAGGGAGAGAGGGGAAGGGAAGACCCCTATCTCTTTCTACAGCTCACATAATTAGAACCAGTGACCTGAGACTTTTCTGAGACAGTCTACACTCAAACTTCTCCCATCAAGATGGAGCATGTTCCTCTGTATCTACTCAACCATTAACATGTCATCTAAGGCATCATATGGCTGGGGATTGGATGGAAATAGCTGAGCCCAGCCCCCAGCCCAACCCCAGGAACATACACAGCCCAGTGAAGTTGCAGGTGTTAATCAAAGAATTGCAACAGTGAACAGGCCATTTGAAAATGCACTAAAAGCACAGTACCAGGGCACAGACCAGCATGGTTTATAAAGCAGGGTGCTGACCTCTTCAAGGAGGTCCAGAGACAACCTCATTCAGCATTAGTACCTGCTCTTCTTAATTCAAGAAACAGATTCCAGAAAAGCCACAGCACCTGGAACCCAGGGGACGGCCATGTGGCTTGTTGGATGCCAAACTCTGTGCCAGACCCTTCACACACCTCCTCCATTGGATTCTCAAAAAGCTCCCTGAAGTTTGGCCCTTGTTCCTGCCTGGCAAGTGCAAACCTGATTTCATAAAGGCTAAGTTACCTGCTGGTGGTCACGTGCTTTGTGAGCAGCAGAGCAAGGGCTGAGTGGTTTACCACATAGAGACCAGGAGGTCTTGGGGAGCCATCTTGCTTTTAGAGGAAGAAAGAGAACTGGGAAGACCAAGGATGTGGGAAGAGAAAGGAGATCCCAAAGAGGGAAGGGGAAGAGAAATGGCGGAGAGCTCCACCCTAGTCAACTAAAGGAAGCTGTGGCTTCTTCACTCTGTGCCTGGACACAGGACAGACACAGAGGCAGTGACCAGGATTGAGAGGTGATGTCAAAAGGACTGGGAGTCCTTTTCAGTGACATTCATTGGATCTAAGAAAAGCCTGCAGAGGTGGCTTTAATCTCAGAGGGCACCAGTGAAGACAGAGGTGACATTCAAACTCTTCTTATCTAGAAAGGGCTCCCTAAGGTGAGGCCTCTCAGGAGCTGTGGGTTAGCATTGCCCACTTCTAAGTTCTGGAAAGCATCAGGCAGGTCTAGCCTTCTGAACTTGTGGTATATTCATCTACACAGTTTACAGTTGAGAACCACACAATCAAGTCACACACACACACACACACACACACACACACACACACACACACACACACACACACACACAGTATGTTTTAAGTAAGTTTATGATTTTATGTTGGGCTACATTCATAGCTATCCTGGATGTATATGACCCATGGGCCACAAGCTGAATGTGTCTGCTAGTTAATTAAAAATATGTAGGTCTCTTTCTCTGTCTTTCTCTGTCTCTGCCTCCCCCAGCCTCTCTCAGAGAGTCTTATGTTGTAGGTCCAGGCCTACATTGAAATTGCTATGGAGCAGAGGAGCAGAGGATGAGCTTGAACCCCCAATCCTCCTGATTCTACCTCCTGAGTTCTGGGATTACAAATGTGTGCCATCACATCTGGTTCTATGCAGTATCAAAGTTTGAGTTCAGGGCTTCGTGTATGGTAATTAAGCCCTCTGTGACTGGGCTGTATCCCTGGGCCCCTTTCCTTCTCTGTTTGTCCCTTTATCTGTTTTTTCTTCACTTCTATTATACCCTTCATTTATAAAAATCCTCACTATTAGTTATCCCCACATTTCTATTAGGATTCTGATCATTCTCATCCACAAATAGAGTGTAAACCCAGAAGAGTAAAATAACACACACAACTGAGTAGATCTTTCTTGACTCTAAATATTTTAATGACCATCTGGCAGCAAGGGAAGATTTAAAACCAGAGCTTCTGATTGATTCAGCATCCCCTTTTCTTGTTTCCTCTCAGTTTGGAAGAGGCTAGAGAGAGCGTGGACTCCAACTGTCCACTCAGCAGAGTCATTTCTCTTGGCGCACTCGGCATTGAGAGACATGATCGCTCACATTCCAGCTCATTTTTCTGTTAAAAAGTGTCTTTTATTCACTCACAACCTCACCACTCACTAGTAGATCACCTATGGATGTAAGAGAGGGTCCTGTGGTTGATGGTACATAGTCTGGCGATGGAGCCATCTACTCTGTGTTTACATGGTGAGTGGGATCCTTAGATCATGGTCACTCTGGAGATCACTTCTGAGAGGCCCAGAAGGTGAGGCTGTAGATCAGAGTTGTACAATGCCCTCAGGTAATTGTTATTCCTCTTAAATGTGTGTGTGTGTGTGTGTGTGTGTGTGTGTGTGTGTGTGTGTGTGTGTGTCACACAAACAGTGCTGGGACTGGAACCAAGATCTCCATATGCCAGGAAAGCCATTCTCCCACTGAACTATATCCCCAGCCTCCAGTGACTCCTTTGAAAGTCACCCCCAGAAATCTTGAAAAAGTCCAGGAGAAGAAAATGCTACTTGAATCCCTCCACCAGAGCCCTGGGAGCCACACTAAAAATTAGTCATGGCAGTAGAAGGGTGACTCCAGGGGGCCAGTATGAGGGCGTAAATTAATGTTGGCCGTGTGAGTAACTTGTGCTCTCCGGCAGGCACAGCTGTGGAGTCCCCAGGGAGTTGTCTGGCGACATGTGATTTTACATATCTGACAGCTAAATCAGAGATCCAAATGCCAAATCCTGCACTCGGGAACATTATGTGGATTTGTGACAGTCCCAAGGGGACTCCGGATCCATAAAGCAATGAATGGATTACAATGAGGCGTAAATACAGCGTTTTCATCTGTGACATACAATCTTACTCTATTATTTCTCACATTGTTACGTGAAGGAAATCTATACCCACATTCTCAGAGCTGCTCTCAGAAATTAAAAGGAAAAAGTGTGGTTTTAATTTTTTTTTTTAACAAAGCATCTCAATGTGCCAAGAAATAAACTAGACATTGTGATAATTACGTTGTGTTTTTTTTACAACCGAGGTGAACTCTGGGATCACACCTGGGTCAGAAAGTAACCACCTCAGACCAGTGTGTCAGCTCAGCCAACTAACTAGCTGTGTAACTGTGAGGAAATCATTTCATCTTTTCTGGCCTTGGTTTCCTGGTTTGGCTGGAGGATTCCACATTCATGGACATGCACTCCTGAGATTTTGCCTTGCCCAAGGAAAACAGAACTTTATTTGTACTTTTAAATCGTGTACAGTGTGTATACTTTCACATACTCATCATATACTCCCAGCCATCTATGGCTCAGAAGTGAATGACAGTACCTGTTCTACGAAGGTGAGTTCTAAAACGCATCCCTGCTTCAAGTTTGTGATTACATCCATCCTGATCATCCCACCAACAATGAACAGTTTTAGCAATCCATGGCTCTACCGATCTGAGAAGAATTCTTGGTTGTTTTTCTCGGGTTTCCCCCGTTAGAGTTGAGTGCCTCAGCTGTCCAGGAACAAAGGTCCAGGCCCATCTGGGTTGGGCCCCAGCTGTGGGGACTGAGAAACCACAGGATGCAATTATCAGTCCCCTTTGCACCGTCCCTTCCGTACCAGTGCAGTGTGGCTCTATCTTGACAAATAATTACGATCTTTTCTATTTGCCTCACGCCAGAGAGTTCCCAAATCAATTTCAAAAGTAATTTTATACATAGATCTCTGGGAGTCAGGGCGGGGTAGTATTCTCCTCGTTTACATAGAAGGGAAGAGATGCAGGCCTAATGACTTCCCCATGGCCACTCAGCAAGTAAGTGACAGAAATGCCACCAGAACACTGTTCTCTTGACAAGGACTCCAGGGCTCCTGGCAGTTGGAAACCAAGTGCAAATGTGCTCCCCAGGTCCCAGGGAAAAGCAGGCAGCAGCATGTATGGAGGCCAGTGGAAAAGCAATCCCCAGGCACTTTCAAAGCAATGCAGTGTGTGGAGCCCGCGGTCGGAGGATCAATAGCATCATTCTTGTATACATAAGACCCCACATTACTCAGGGAGGCCTAGCAGGGAGGGAAAAGCAGACGCCCGGGTACTTCGTGCCACCAGCTGTCATGGCTGGCTATGCCGCGGCTCCCGACAAAGGCAGTGTGACAGTCACTCTGCACAGTTGCGGGAATCAGTTGACGGGGACAAGAGCAGAAAGCCTTGTTCAGTGAGGTGTGAGAGAATAAGGGGCATGGAGTGTGGTTTTAATAAGGACTTGGTTCTGCCAGGGGCCTTAGCCCTGGGAGGTGGCAGGTGAGACCATACCCTAGGCTGGCCACATTGGGTCCTGCCTTGAATGGGGACTAAGGCTCAGGACAGCAGCTAGCCTCATCATTCCTTCTTACTCTACCATTCAGTGAGAAGCCACAGAAGCAGCTTATTCTTTCCATCCTGAAGTGGTATCAGTGTGGCTAAGACATGTGGCTAAAGATGATGCCACACTTGTGAGACGGTAACCGAACTTAAATGGCTCTCTTTTCTTCTCTAAGTGGCACCTCTCTGAAGAGTGACAGCCCATCTTTGTGACTTCTCTGTTTGCACATCTTCTCCCACAGTCTAATTTGCAGGAGACACTCAGGGCCCACCTATTGATTAAGTGAAGTGTAACCAGTGTAGCCGCCTCTTAGGAAGCTCTCTCTCTCTCTCTTCTGCATCGGCCTTAAAGTAGTAGGACTCAGTACATCTTCAAATTCATAGTGAAGGGGTTTTTCAATGACAGTAATTATCTAAAATCTTTATTACGTTTAATATTTGTTTAGTTCACTGTTGGGGCAGCACACATGTGCCACTGTGTGTGTGTGTGTGTGTGTGTGTGTGTGTGTGTGTGTGTGTGTGTGTGTGTGTTGGTCAGATGACAACTTTCTCTCCTTCTGCTGGTTCCAGGGATGGAACTCAGGTGGTCAGACTTGGTGACAAGCCCCTTTACCCACTGAGCCAGCTTGCAGCCCCCTATGCCAATCATTAACAATTTAGACCAATATCAGAGTGTGTGCTAAGTAGCTGTTTCCTAGGGACTGAAACACTGTTGTGGAGGAGGTTGGGGTCACAAAGCACAGCAAATGCTCAGGAAAGATCCAGTAAGACCCAGGAAGCTAGGAAACCAAACAGCAAGACTCAGCAGCCTCCACGACTGCTGGGAACGAGCATCCTTGAATGCTGTAGCTGCCTGCATGTTGCACAGAAACTCTACAGTAGTTTTCATGAGCTGGTGTGGGCAGCCTTTCTACGAAGCAGCTGCCCAAGTCGTTCGTACCCCTGTCAGTCACTTCTTACATATGCTTCTGTAAAATTAGCCCGGTAAACTCACTGGGGCATCAAGGTGGACTTAGATGAATCATCTCTTGGGTCTCTTGTGGCTCTTTCTTTCTGGGGTGAACAGGCATTTCCATGCAATTCTCAGGAAAAGAAAAGCAACGATATGTAAAGGTCTACCAACTGACAGGAGAGACTAATAATCAGAGATGGATTTAGATTGAGTGAGGATTAGACAGGAAATCCTATGAAAATATAAAGAAAGAAATTCCACAATGGGCACTACAGGAAAGCAAGTTCAACCTTCTAGAAGCTGCTTTACCCACTTCTGAGCAGTAAGCATTTCCCAGTCTCATCCCCACCCCACCCGCTCACAGTTCTGTGGAGCATTGGGTTCTGTCACAGTGAACCACTTTGCCACAGCTTTTTGGCCCCTCCAGGTAAAAGAGCAATTGGGCACAGCAATCCCACTTCTAAGATGGATCCCCAAGTCTTTCTTCACCTTATTTTTGGGTAAGGGATTCAGCTCTCCTACCCTTAGGCATCCGTCTCGTGAAGTGTGCCATCCTCTTATTTCTGCATCTTGAATGGGCACCTTGTAAATCCAGTTATCAGCTATCGGCCTCCTGTGACGCAGTGAAGGAATTCAGTTGAGAAGATCTTTGCTCTTGGCCTGAACACAAGAAGACACGGAGAACAATATCAAGACAGCACCATGGCATTGTTTACAACAACCACCTTTCAAAAGTAAACTAAGAAAAAGGGAAAAACAAGTGAATTTCAAGATTGGAACACAGAATAGCAGTACATGTATCAATAATAGTCACTTCTTGGAAAAAGACAGTGAAATAAGAACCGAATTGCAGTGAAATGCACATTATGATCCCACTTATTTGAAATTTTAACACAGACAACCCACCATTATTTATTGCTCCTTTATATTTACATAAAACTGAGTAAAAATATGAAAAACCATGCAAGAGGTAGATGGACTCCAGATAAAACTGGATCCTTTTATATTCTTCCTTGCATAATTAGATACTATATATATAATTATATTATTATATATTTCTAGAACATGGACATATTAGATACATAGTAATTCTAATATTTCTAATACATCATTCCTTATACTCTTCCCTATATGTTATAGTAGGTAATTTCATGACTGCATCATGTAAAAACAAAACCAGGTAGGGAACCCCCCCTTCCACTCCCCTGTCTGTTGGTTCTAAGTAGGTAAGATAGGGAATCATGGGAAACACGAAGTTTTCCTTGAGGAAATTCTTTCAGATAGAATCTGATCATCTCCCTCCCACAAGCCCGTGCTGGACTTGGAGTGTCACTTGACAATGTCTGTACTCCCTAGTCTGCCGTTCTGATTGCTCCTCAGCTTGGGGCTGGCCACTTGAGAGGTGGCTCTTCAGGAGTCCGCCCTCCAGCACGGTGCGCTCCATTCATCTGGAGTGTTTGCTATTTTTCAGCATCCATTTCCTTTTCATCTCGTGCTTCAGATGATCACATGTTCACTCCCGAGGACTCCTTCCCTCACCCCTGCAATTTGACATGATGTACCAGAGCCTTGGTGACGAGCCTGCTCTAACACAGTGATTCTCCCCTAAGAACTCTCATTCAGGAGGTGCATAGTCAGCTGCAGGAAACTTACTGTGGCGTCTCTAATGTTTAACCATTAAACATCATGTTAACATCCTAAGGCACACAGGGAACAGCACATACAAAACCACAGCCTCTGGAGTGGGAGGCAGGCTACCTGGGTCTAGGCCTTGCTCTGGAACACTGTGGTACCCTTCAGCTGTGTGACCCTAAGCTTTCTCTGCCTCCAGAGTCTAACCTGCAACATGATAATAAGGAGATTATGTGTGTAGCAGGCACACCCCAATTTTGTGTGTATGTGGCTAATTCTGGATATATTTATCTGAAAACCTTTTATAGTTTGAAATCTTAAAGTACGGTTTTGTTATGTAGCTCAGGCTGGCCTTGAACTCATGATCTCCCTGATTCAGTTTTCCAAATACTGGGATTTTAGGCATTTTAGTCTTTCCAGACTCATGAAGGAAGACAAGTTTACAGTCTGCTTTGGTCTGCTGATTAAATCTTGTGAGGTCCTGGACACAGTAAGGGTTTAAGGCATTCGTTAAATGTAAGCGTCAATACCACATAGCCAAAAGTCTTTGAGTTTGGGTTTTTATATCTGAAGCAGTGAACTAGAATTTGAGTAATTTGTATGTGGTGGGGTGTCACGCAGAGGAGCTCAAGGGTTAGAAAATGAGATTTACACAAACTCCATAAAGGAACTAGATGAAGACAGAAACCAAGTTACCCTCGAATGTGCGCAGGAGTGGGCTAATGAGGAAGTACGTAGGTTCTGGAACAGAAGGAACCCTGCCTAGATCTCCCTTTACCATTCGCTAGTTTGGCGGCCGTGGTCCAGTTTCCGTAGCCCTGGCTTAGGTTCCCCCTTATTGAAGAAGTACAGTAGTACCTACCCCACTGAGTTTGTTGCAAAGTTTAGAAATGCATCTCCCTCCCAAAAAATTATATTGAAATTCTGGTATTTGAAAATTGGGTCTTCGTAGACGTAGTTAGTTAAATTAGGATGCAGTCCGATGGGTTACTATGAGGCCCTAAATCCAACACGTAACTAGTGTCCTCATAGGAGATGCAGACAAAAGAGAAGTTCCTGTGACTAGAGACACAGTTGGAAGTGAGAGGAGTCCAGGCCCCTCAGCCACCCCTAGATGCTGGACAGCACAGGGAGGCCTTCTTTTTGGAGCCTCAAGGGGGAGGGTAGCCTTCCCGACCTGTGACTTCAGAACTCTGCCTTCTAGAACTGTGAAAGAGTAGGTCTGTTGCTTACGCCACATAGTTTGGGCTAACTTATCATGCCAGGAAACGAACACAAGTAACATTGTGTCCCTTATTGTACACATGTAGAAACTGAGGGACAGAGTAAGTATTTTCCCTTAGCCAGTACGTGAATTGGGACTTGAAACCAGGCCTGACCCTAGAGTGTGCAGTCTTAATCATCAGTTGACATTCAAATGGATTCCTGGTGGTTCTGTCATTTTCTTGGGAAACACACACACACACACACACACACACACACACACACACACACACACACACATTTTTATTTCCAAACTTTAAATTTTAGTGGATTTATCGTCTACCATCCCCCGAGGCATTATTCTGCAGTATAAGAGTGATGCTGTCACTGGGCTGTGTTAAATCCTGTCCTCATTAGCCCAGTGGAGTTTGTGTCTAACTCATGCAATTCTCCCACACATTGCCCAGCACCCCCCTTGCCTCCAGCCTTGCTGGGCCTCAGAGGCTGGTGACCGAGGCTCTTCCTCTGGGGCTCTTGGAGAGCTCAAATGGTCAGTCCAGTGACACCGTAGAGCACGACTCCTCAGGCTCTCTGCGTTTCCTCTGGTACTTGTCTCTCCTTAACCACCCCAGAAGCTACCTGCTGTATGCTGAACATTTGATAGTTGTTCTAGGACCCCAGTGACTCAAAGGCAGATTGGGGATCTGAATTACGCTCAGACTCCATTTCACCTGCTTAATTCCAAATGTAACCATTAGGGAGGTTTTCAGAATGAAATGTCATCTTTATTTATTCCATTCTGCCTGCCCCCTCCACCCCGGCCCGAGAGTCAGGAAAATGCATGTTTGAAAAAGAAATGAAAAACAGAGGAAATCCCAAACTAGATTTCCAGCCCCAGAATCACCCAGCTGTTGCTCATTTGGTCTTACTTTCTAAAGCTATAAAGCCTCACAGGGTAGCTACATCTGTCTCCCTGGTTCTCTGCCTGGTGACCCAAACCTTCAAGATTCTTTTTTTGTTTGGTTTTTTTGAGACAGGGTTTCCCTGTGTAGCTTTGCGCCTTTCCTGGAACTCGCTTTGGAGACCAAGCTGGCCTCGAACTCACAGAGTTCCGCCTGCCTCTGCCTCCCGAGTGCTGGGGTTAAAGGCGTGCGCCACCACCGCCCGGCCTCAAGATTCTTCTTAACCTGATTCCCCAAGGGAACTGAGCACCAGTATCCATTGCATAGGCGCTCTGGTCCATGGCTCTTGGGTGCAAATTGGGAGGGAAACATATTCGTTGCCCTCTGTGGGCTCTAGAGTGTAGCAGGCTGTTAGATAGGTTAATAAAGGCTCCCATGCCTAGAGGGTGGAGGAAGAGGCTCTTCTACCCTGGCAAACATGACCTTGACTCCAGGATGTAAGCTGAGCCCAGGCACACCTGTACACCTGACAGATGAGCTGGGCTTTGGAAAAGCTCCCAGTGACAAGCTTATGAGGACAGACACCTGCAGAGAGCCCCCACCTGCCCCCACCATGAGCACTCAAAGAACAACCTTGATCCCACAGGTCTGTCACAGGAGAGTCACAAAGGGGTTGGTTCATAGGCCAAGTTCAAATGCCACACTTGGAAGGAAATACAGCCATCTATTCATAGCACACCCATTTAGTGGGATTTTATCTGGTTTTATTCTCAGATAAAAACCTGTGATTGTCTAAAGGATAGGACCAAACAATTCAGATGGAGCGAACCTACTAGGTACCCAACAGGTGGATAGGAACTGGATATTTAGCACCCTTTCCAATTCTCCCAAGATTTTCTGTGGTGGATTTTATAGATAACACTGCACCTCAGAGAACTTGTATTTCTTTTTGAGACCACACCTCTAATTAATGACCAGGCAGCACTTGAAAGGCTTCTTCCAGGGTTGTATGTCCCTGTTTCCAAGCAAGTCAACCCAGGAAACATGAGACCCAGGGACTTGGATTATGCTTTTGCCCTTCATCAGTTGGGCTCATATTCAAATGCATTGGCTTATGGAGGGTCAAGCCTGTTACCCGGAACTTCAAGTGGTAGAATAGTATAGCCTGGAACGACCCAAGTCTAAGACTGCCCTTAGATACAGTGCCATCCTGAACTAGAGGCAAGTAGTCCCAAAGTGTCAATATAGAGACATATCAGATTAAACTCAGAAACAGTGAGTGGTCCTCACTAGGGCCGTTTGCCACTCAAGGGACAGTTAGCCGTGTCTAGAGATGGATTTGGGCATCTAGTAGGCAGAAGTCGGAATGTGGTTTAGCATCTTACAGATGCAGAGGAAAGCTCCCTATGAGCAAGAATTATCTAGCACAGATTACCGTTAGTGCTCAGCCTGAGATGGCCTGCAATGAAATATCATCTCAGTAACTATGTGAAATTCTTAGCACAGTGCTATACAGAGATGAACGAATAGCTTAACATAGCTGCTCAGCATACCAGCCTTCCTTCCTGACGACTGAGCTGGCGGCTCTTGGCAGGCGATCCCGGGGTCCCCCCTGATGAAGCAAGGGGGACCTGGGTGTCTCCCTCTTTCCTGTGACTGCAGAAGTCTCTGAGCACCAAGCACACACCAGCTGTGGCCTGCTGCCTGTGCCCACCAGCACAAAGGCTCTCATTACTTATGAATCAGTACGTGCATTGAAGAGGGGTTGTTTTTGATTTTCTAATAGAGGAGGCAAGATGTGTGGCTAGCAGTGGGTGGCATGGGCTGATCTCTGGAAAAATGTTTGTGGAGTCCACACTCCAAGCCTTCGGTGGGAAAGGGCTCTGAGGCAGCCTTGACAAGGGCTAGGGTGCAGGCATGGGAGGCAGACCTGGCTTTTGGCATTTATTTTCGCTTTTGAGTTAACTTTATTATCTAGTTTCAGTTTTCATTTTATTAAGCGCTCTGATTTATTAGACACCCCTGCCCCCCCGCCCCCCGCCCCGGGTAAATACTTTAAAGTTACAAGAGCCATTGCCTTGAAATGACCTTGATTCTACCAGAAGAGAATCTCAAACCCTGCAAAATGGCTATAGTCTGTGATAAGAAACAAAACGGGGTGTTTTCAAAGAATCAGAGTTCTGAGGAATTCCAGATTTCAGAGCTAGGCACAGGTACATCCGTATTTGTGCAGAGGATGAGGACGGGCTCATTTTTCTTCTCTCCTCTTGAGCACTGCCAGGGAGGTTGCTTTTCTTGACAAAAAGAGCTCGCCCCCTCCCAGCTAATTACAGGCCATTGCCCAAATTAAGTATCCCACAACCGCTCTGACTCCCAAGGGGCTTCTGATGGTGGCCTTAGGTTTACGTTTTAGTCTCATATCATATTAAATTAGGACTTTGTGCTGCCTCTCTTGTCCCTTGGTTGCTTTCATTTATTGCTTTGCTCTCTGCCTTTTGCTTTTATTTTCAAGAGGGTTATTCCTTGGACGTATTTTGCCATGGTAGTACTTACATTTTGGGGGCAACTAACAGCTATCTCATTGGGCTCGAGGCCTGCTCAGTGGGAGGGAATTCAGGCCTGGTATTGTAAACCTAGCCAACTACTGTGGCTGGTGAGGCCACGAACCCCAGGGGAGAACCTCGTACTGCCTAGTCCCCAACCAGTATAATTCCTGACTGCATTCTAAATATTTCTGCTTACACCCACAGCGTACACCCTCATCAAAGAAGCTTCTTTTTGCAGCAGATGGAGACCCTTACAGAAAGCCACCACTGGTCAAAATGCAGAAAACAACTGCCCAGGGGTATCCACTCACATACTTCTATAATACAACCCTACGTCTAAGGCTCAGAGAACGTCTCAGAAGAGGGTGCAGGAAGATGGTGAGAGCCGAAGGACTGGGACATCCGATGCCATGTAGTGTCTTCTATGTATGACATGGAAACTCTACCCGTCAACTCTCCCAAAAATACGGCTGCCTAAAAAAAGACCTGCACAAATGACGAGAGCAGTTGACATGTCAATGTGGATTGAACTTGCACAGGGCCACACTCCAGATGAAGAGCTACAGGCAATTAATGGCCACTCACAGAGGGACGCGCTCTTCTCCAAGGATGAGCCCTGGGGAGATTATTCAGTCCCAGGTGGTCAGCCCTGAATAAATAGATGTAGGAACAACACCAAATGGCTTCAGCAGGCTGCAGACATGTATGGAACCATGCCTAAAGAAGAGGTCGTGGATTTGAGAGGGAGTTGGGGTCACATGGGAGGAGTTTTGGGAGGGAGGAGAGGTATAGATGATGTAAATACAGTATTCGTGAATGAAATTCTCAAGAAAGGATTAAAAAGAAAAGAGTGTTCTTCCTGCTTAGGCATAAGTTCTCCAAAGGCAGGCATTAAGCTTCTCATTTTCTCCTTCCTTGTGGCACCCAGGCCTCGATGTATATCAGATGCTCAATAAAAGGTCGATGGACGCAGTGGGGTTAAATAGAATCCTGTCTTTCCAATTCATCTTTCTCTAAGCTTGCCCCTGGGAATAAGACCAGGATAGAGCAGGAGAACCCTGGGTGGGACTTGAAAGAAGGACAAACCTTCAGGTGAATGGGGGAAAAAATAGAAGAGGGAACAGGAAGAAGATGAAAACTGCCAAGACTGGCAACTGCCCACCTGGCCCTCAGCTCCTGATGAAAAGAAACACAAACCATCGGATTCACTTCAATTGCTCCTGGACCCGAAATGACTCCCTCCCCCAGGCCTGTAGGAAAATTCAATTAAAGGGTCCATCTGTGAGGCAGCAGCTGAAGAGGAAAGACTGTGGAGAGGCCCACATTTTCATAAAAAAGAGCCCTGCTCCACCTCCTCTCTGCACTCTGCTCCTCCCCCGTTTACTTATTAGATACAGCCCTTACCTCTAAACTGCAATTCTCTCCAATTAGGCTGGTTCCAGCAGCAGCTTTCATCTACTAGTTTGAAATGCATGCAGAGGAAGGACTGATACATCCCTCAGCCCCAGCACTTGCTGGGAGAGAGCGAGAGAAAAATCCACAAAGACTGACCGCAGAAGCCAGGGGACCGGCGGCCTCCTGGCCCAATTAATTCCAACACATCGGCTGGCTGCAGTTTTATGCTGACTGTGAGTTCTTTCCACGGGCTGTCCAAATTAATGCAACCTGATACAAATTAATAATAATAAGTAATGTCCACAGTCTGTGGGCTTGGCTTAGTGGGTAAAGTGTCTGCATGAGGACCTGAGTTTGGATCCCCTGCACTCATGTACAGAGTTTGGTGTGGTATGTGCTCTAATCTCAGCTCTAAGACAGAGACATGAGGATTCTTGGAACTTACTGGCCAACTGGTCTAGCCAAATCAGTGAGCTCCAGGTTCAGTGAGAGACTCTGTCTCAAAAAATAAGGTGGGGAGTGAGTGAGGAAGATGCCCAGCATTCATCTCTGGCCTCCACACATGTGTGCATAGGCATGCACCCCCCCCCCCACACACACACCAAATAATAACAAATAAATATTAGTCACAGCCAGGCAAGCTTTCTGGACTCTGGTGAGAAGCAAAGAGAAGGGTGGAGGGGAAGGTTTAAAAGTGTGATCTCTGAAGCAGGCCTTCCAAGTCTCCCAGCTCAGGGCTATCTCCCTGCATCCATATCTGTGTGGGAGGGAGAGGGACTCGATCAAGGTTCTGAAAGGGGTGGAACTTAGTTGCTCTGGCCAAGGGGTAGGTTAAAAAAAAAATCTGCTATCCCTTCACCAAACGTCATCTGCCAGTGTTTGTTGGGAAGCTATGTTAGGAATAAAGGTTGGCCTTTGCAGGGACCTGGTCCGTCCTCCTTCTCTTCATATGCCCTTCAAGCTAACCAGCGGTTAATTAATGTGTGGAGGCCAGAGATGAATGCTGGGCATCTTCCTCACTCACTCCACTCACTCCCCACCTTATTTTTTGAGACAGAGTCTCTCACTGAACCTGGAGCTCACTGATTTGTCTAGATCAGTTGGCCAATAAATTCCAAGAATCCTCATGTCTCTGTCTTAGAGCTGAGATTAGAGCATGCGCCACACCAAACTCTGCACATGATTAATAAACTCTGTACATGTATAATTAACCAGATGGTGTCTGTGGGTAAGACTCCAGCAGTTTCTGCTAAGGCCCCTCGCCGGCACCCACAGCATCCTACAGATCCCTCAAGCGATGCCGTCTCTTCTGAGAACTCTCCTTCTTGCTTTCTTCTGCTATCCTATGGTGATTTTCAGTCAGAGAAGGCCAGGAAGAGGCAGTTCACTGCCTTCCTTGGCTACATCGAGTGAGAGGGTGTGGATCTGTGGGAAGTTCTGGTGTGGTGTGGCTGGGCACGGCAGGCAGATGCCACAGCTTCAGTTGCCATGGTGCAGAGTACCACAGACTGGGTGCCTTCAACAACAAACGTCTGTTTTCTTATAACTCTGGAGACAGTGACAGGTGAAGGTGTCCTCTGTGTTGGTGTCGTCTAGATGGCTGTTCTTTCCTATGTTTTCACAGCTTCCTCTGTGTGTGTGTGTGTGTGTGTGTGTGTGTGTGTGTGTGTGTGTGTGTGTGTGTATTTTCTTCCTAAGGATGTCTGTAGTATCAAGGGGTTGGGGGATTAAGGTTCCTTCAGATGAAATCATTTTAACTTGATCACAGATAGGGTGAATTTGAGCAAAATACAATGATATACATGTATGAAAACATCATAATGAGACCTACTGTTGTGTATACCAAGTAAACAAAATGTATCTCCACACAGTCAATCTTTCAGAGACTGAGAGTGAAAACTACAGCATTTCATTTTGAAGATCATGGAATTCAGCTCACAACAGCATGCCTTATGGGTCTGCCTAGAAGCAGATTCATTCTTGAAGCTTAACCATGTCACCTCAGAGACTGGAAGACTTTGAGGAGACATCAGCTCTACAGAGGAGAGGAAACCTCTAGGAAAAGATCTTTTCCAGTTGGTATTAATGTGCTTTTATCTACTATGTGTAAAACAGTGCTAGTGACATTACTTATGACTTATATAATTGGATAGGGGAGATCCTAGTACGTGGCCACCACCAATTTAATGATGATGGAATCCTCCAAATATATTTCTCTCACACTTATAAGTGGGGAGACCTCAGCTCCCATTTCAGGTTCTTTTAGAACCCACCCACCTCACAAAACCCCTCATCATTCTTCACATGTGACCTTGAAGTTCATTCCTTTCCCTGAAACTTTGCATATTTCCCCTCTTTTTGAAAGGCCCTTTACCTTCTTGTAAAACTGTGGACCATTTCAGAAGGAAAACAGAGAATGAATTAGTCTTATAAACACTCTGATTTCTCTCCTGAGAGAAGCAGTACTGGGATAAGTAAGTCATTGAGTATGGACACCTCAGGTTCACTTTGGTTGCTTACAGTTACTAGTGACTCACTGGGAAGTATTGTCACCAGAAACATGTGTGAAGCATTGCCTTAGCATAGCTCCATGCAGAGAACTTGGTCACTGTTCTTTGTCATGGTTCTCAGGAGCACAAGAAAAGTGCTCTGTTTCCAACTGCTTTCAGAGTGCAAACCACACACACACAGCAAGTCAAAGTAAGCACGCTCTTCTCGATGCCCACTCTATCATCAGCTTAACATTGAACTTGACATATGGATATCCTTTCATTTTTCTGAGCCTGTTGGTGTCAAACTGTTCCAGCAGAACACTGGTCCATACTTCTTCCACCTTCAAGTCTTCTGCTCTTTGAATGATGTGTGTGTGATGACCATGAACTCCAATATATTACTCACCCTCCTCTTCCATGGCCTTGGCCACACCTTGAACTGTACTCCTCCTAGAAGACACAAGAATAGAATGGCTGAAGGCTTGGGCTCTCTTTCAGACCTTCAGATTGGTTTTAATCAAACTTGACTTCACCCTTTGAAGTCATAGGACCTTGTCCATTTCCTTTATTCCCCTGGGTCTTTGTTATTCATATACAAGATGAAGATAATGAGGAACTGCAGGCAAGGAAGCACATGTACCGAGAGGTGACCAACCAGAGCAGACAAAATAGTTATTGTGTGAGCAAGTACTGGATAATAACCCTGTCAGGTCTGGTCTTCCCGTGTAAGCAGGCCAGAGTTTTCAGTGAGCAAAACTTACCACGAACATTTTGTACCCAGAAGCTCTAGAAGACTTGGAGTTATTCAAGTTGCATGTATTTCTGGCAAAACAATGCCCCTCTTTCTCCAGCATTAGGGCTGTGTACTGCATAGAGAGTGCCTGCGGTGACTATGAATACAGAATAGAAAATGAGCCAGGGTGTGTTGACCCTTCTTTCATTACCCAAGAGCAGGAACCGCACGTGCTTCTTGTCTGTTCTAACCGTGACCATGAACTCCGGCACTGCTGCTTTGCTGTCCTTTGCTGATTCCCACTCTTGCCACAAACAAACCCGAACCACACCTCATAGCAAGAAGAAGCTCACTGCTGTTTAGAATTGACACTCTTGGACTCCAAATGAGAGGCAGAATTGTTATTAATGTGCCTCCAGTTTTTTTTTGTCCTCAAAACAACAGCAACAAAACCACCTTTAAATGCAGTAGGTAAGTATATGCATAAATCCCAAGCACTTTTGATTTAAGGATTTGTAATCCTGTGTTCAACCTCCATCCGTCAGTTCTACTCTTGACTTTCAGGCCATTCGTCTCAGGAAGCAAAGAATGAGCGCCTTCTGGGCTCATGAAAATGTGCTGAGCTAGGTTCTCCAACGAATCGTTTATGTTGGAGGTTTCCCGATGAAATTTTTAGCAAGAGTCACATCGGGGACGATGACAGTGTATGAAAGAGCACAAGAAGAAAACATGGAGAGGACACTACCCTCATTTGTGTGAAGTGACACGGACAGTGACGTGTGAAATCACAGAGGTGAATCAATGACAAATGGCTCAGGGGATGATGTGACAGTGTGAACATCCATTGTTTCTATCTTATAGTGTGAGTGTTTACTGTACTCAGCAGTGCAGCTAATTATACTGAAAGACAGACACCAAAAAGACACTCACCTGCTAAAAATATTAACGATACGGTTCTGTACCTTAAAGTGTATTGCCCACCTCCCACGAGTATGTGAGCGCACACACACACACACACACACACACACACACACACACACACACAGAGAGAGAGAGAGAGAGAGAGAGAGAGAGAGAGAGAGAGAGAGAGAGAGAGAGAGAGAAGCAAAATCTATTCTGGGTCTCAGTCCACCTGCATTGAAAACTGAGAACTGCTAGAATCCTGCAATTTTAATCTCATTCCCAGTGATAAATTGACCATCCTGCCTCCATATCCCTTTTTTTGTTCTTTATTTTAGAAGGTAAATTTCCTTTTGATGGGGGATAGCATGGTTTGAGGGTCAAAGAGCCAAACTTCATCCAAGTCATTAATCTGGACAACTCCCAGCTGGTACTAAATACCATACTGATTGTGTTTCATGAGCTGGACATGTCAATCACTCTATCTGTCCCCCGGGGATAGGAAAGGGGTATGTTAGGGTCACCAAAGCGTGATTGGAGGAGAATTGGTTCTGGTGCCCTATAGCATAGTGAAGGGGAACTATAGTCTACAATGATCTATGATGTATTTTAAAGTAACTGGAACTGTATAGTTACCTATATATAGAAATGATTAATGTTTGAGGAGTTAGAAGTGCTAATTGCCTGGATTTGATCATTATATATTATTGTAAGCATGCATTAGACCACCCATTGCACCATATCCTATAAATATGTACAAACATTTTGTCTCAACAAAAAAATTAAAATGATTTTGGGGAGTCAACTGGTAATACTCTTCAAATAGAACATTAACACACTCGGATTCAGAAGTTCTAGAAATGTCTGATAAAAATAGGTACACATTCAAAGATACTTGTACAAGGATGCTTATGGCAACACTTCATATAGAATCGACAACAAGAAGAACTTTAAGTGACTTTCAGTGGAGGAATAATTGTAGCTTTGCAGACTACTCACATTCATACACTATTGTGTAGCTCATTAGTAGGATAAGATGGTTAATTGTCCTGGGGTGAAAAGATGTTAGGAATAATTTTGATGGGGATTCTGTTGC